ACAATAGAAAGACAAGAAACACCAGACTAATCAGTTATATATGAGAGCAGACAGGTGGCTGAGGGGGCTGTGAAAATTGGGATGGCAGGAACAGGGAACATAGCCACCGCCGTGCCAACCCCATGGGCGGGAGGTGGCCGTGGCGCTTATTCGGTTTCATGGAAGAGTCAGGCTGCATCAGAAAATGACCTGACCTTCTCGGGCTTGGGCTCCTCAAATATTAGGCCCAAGCAGACCTCTAGCGTGGAGCAGGCAAGGAGAGTGGCTGGGAGGTGATGGGCTCTGACACTGCCCAGCTGACTGATGGTCTCTATAGGACTGTATGTAGCCAGGGTGTTCTGTTTATAGCAGCCCCCAGGCTGTGCCCGGGGAGAGAATCACGGAGTGTGCTCAGCTCCCTGACAGTTGCCCACCCGACTCTGCTGGAGAGACCCAACAAGTCTTCCCATCTTTCCAGTCGAAATTCTGTACTATTAGGGGTCAGAGTTCCAGGCTAAATGAAGGAGGAGAGAGAGTGAGAAGGGTCAGGAGACATAACCACAGCTGCTTACTCGCTGCCTGTACAATAACCCTTCAGGGCATGTTTCAAACAATGACTGTCCTGTACCTTTGCTGATGCAGGCTCTGACGCCATCTCTAATCTGGCAGATTTCTTCTCGGGAGCAGCCGTGGGCTTTACAAGTCACCCCTCGAGCAGGAACACAGGTGCAGCTTTGCTGGCACTCGTTCGTCAGGACCGTCTCATTGGGCTGATGGAACGTTTGGAAAACAGAAAATAACAGAATGTAACTGGAAATGACTATTTAAAATAATTTTTGACAGCGCTAAACCCAGAGCTGTGGATGTGTTTTTCTAACAGATGTGCTCTCGGAATGATATTGGGGCAGCTCTCTGGCCTGGGTTATACAGGAGGGCAGACTAGATGATCACAATGGACCCTTCAGGCCTTAGAATCTATGTATCTATAAAAATGTCCATTGTGTCATAATATTATTTCCTCTTGCCTTTAGAGAGAAAGGCTGTGTAATGGGGTGAGGACTGGGCTTAAAGCCAGGAACAATTCTTAGGTTTTAACCTCCCATCTGCTACTCACTCACTAGGTGGCCTTGAGCAAATCATTGCACCTATCTCTGCCTCAGTTTCTCCTCAACAGGCACAGGGCATAAAATCTTCTGGCCTTTTTTGGCATTTTGAGCATTAGATACTATCAGAGAGGGAAACCAGCCTTGATGGACCAATGCTCTGATGCAGTGTAGCAACCCTATATTCTTGACTAGTGTAGGGATTAAGATATGGACAGAGCAAAAATTAGATCAGATCCAGAAGCTCCAACAGGAGGAGGTACCTTGTAATATCTCCCACGCTCGAAGCACCCACAGCTTTCTGGAGTCACACAGCCCTGGCCATCGAAGAAGAAGCCATCGTCACACTGGCAGCCTTCAGCACAGGTCTCCGGGCAGTCCATGATTTCTGCAGAGCAGGTGGTGGTACATAGGTCAGCGCAGACCTCATAGTGGCTGTTGACTGGGCAGCTCACAGCTTAAATAGAGAGAGAAATAAATGATGTCTGGAAAGATCTCACACAACGGCCTAGAGGGACAGACATGAAGGAGAGGAGAGCAGGACAGGGAGGAGAGGAACAGGGTACCTTTAGATGGAAACATGAGATTGTTGGTTCCCACCCAGAAGAGTTCCAGAAGAAGCCCAGAGGCCTGGAACGAGATGCCCAGTAACACTGACTCCCTCCCTTCCCCAGTGCGTCTCACAGCTACTACACTATCAGCACACTTACAGCAGAAGGAGGTGTTTCTCCAGGGCTGGATGGGGGCCCCAGCCTCTTGGCAGGCCGTCACGTAGCTGTGGATGCTCTGGCACAGAACCTGTGC